AAAGAAAAGATATTGAAAGCCTTTGAAATTTCTAACTGTTTGTTTTTAATTGTAAATTATGATCACTATAATTAGCTCATTTAGTACATTTATAATGTAAACAAATATGAATATACAGAACTTCAGTGATATATTTCAGGGCAAATAAGAGCAACAATGTGACCCTGGGCTCTATTTATTAAGCCTTTCTTGTAGTGTTTGGCACTGCTTCATTCTTTCATACTGTTTCCCCCCTTTTTTTTTCCAGAAGATAAAAGAAAGCCGTACATAATATTTGCAGGTCTCTGCTGAGGTCTTAATGCATCTGGAACTACACTGAAGAAAACACTGATAGAAATCTGGTCCTTTTTGGGCTCCATTTAACTCCAACTCTGAAGCTTTCTTACAGCTTAGACTTTTTATCATGCTAGAAAATAAATACTGCATCTTTTCTTGAGCAGTAGGCTGTTAATACTGAGCAATGAGATGAACTGAAAGTAATATTATTTTTCAGGTATCCTTACTATTTCCATAACTAGCTGCCTGCAGAAATGCAATGTATCTGATACTGCCTGTCCTGTTTCCTGGTGATGCACTTTGTGTAGCATCCTGGGACCAGGTTTCAGAAATCTTCTCCTTTCCCCGTACATGTGCTGCCCTCCACATCATAGTAACTAGCACAAACAGGAGCTGCCTGCCTAGGACTCCCTGCATGCTAATGGAAACTCTTAATGACTAAGAGGATGTCATTCCCCAACCAAGTTCAAAGATTAACATTTGGAGTTTAGTCTCACCATTATTTTTGTAAAATACATCTTTTGTTACATTTCCAGAGCTCAGTTATCATGCTGTGACACACTGCACCCAGTTCTGATAAGTAATGGAAGTTATGATTAGTTAAGCTCCTTATGAATAGAGAAGGCTTCCCTGAAGGTTGAAACTGGCCTCTAACTTGAGATTTTAAATCATTGTTGAAGTGTTTTGACTAGGCTGCCTTTGTGTATACTAAACAGTTTAAGGTTACTTTTTAATCCAGTGGTGCCTGTTTTATGATGTTGACTTGCTGCAATTGAATGCTGTTCTGCCAGCTGTCTCCTTGGGATACTCTAGTAACAAAGTTCTTTTATTTCAGAGGAATGAATTGTCAATAACAAGCAAATAATAACTTTTCTGCTGAATTTCCAAGATTAAAAAAAAAAACCTCTTCTTCTGTCATATCTCCCTTATAATGTTTTGTGAGGGTTGGTTGCTCTGTTCTTGCACTGTGAGCCTTCAGGAGTTAAATGTTTATAGCATGACACAAAGGTAGAAGAGGTACATATTGCAGCAGTGTATTCACCATATTCTGTGGATGTTTTTTAGCTGAAGGAAGTAAGCCCTGGTTATTACAGCTGTCACGGTGACATCTGATCCTTCAGTATCAGTGACTTCCTCACCCACCATATGACCCTGATCACTGCCATGATTCTCTGGCTACTATTAAAGTGGCAAAGGTCTTGGCCCTCCAGGTGCTGTTTCAAGTCTGAAATAGCAACTTGTCTGTCACACTCCCTCTGCCTAACTTATTGCTTAAGGACCAAGCAAAAATGTTGAATGCAGAAAGGATCTCATGCAGCAACAAAGTAAAGAATGTGTCTTGTGTCTGTTTCAGGGCTGATGTAGAGCTAGGGCACTGGGAGTGCATCAGTTCTTAAAAATGAGCAAACATTAAAGCAAATTTGAGGCTTAATCTCAACAATTATATTTTTGTACTTTCTTCTTTTGGGGAACACACTGCTTGCAAGTCATGAGAGGTACCTTTAAATTTCATACAAGAACAGGGGTGTATAATAGCTGGATAAATTCCATGAGTCAAAATTGAAAACTTTAAAAATATTGTCATACAGAAATTCATATCTAAAGCGGATCTTAGCTGACTTTGAGAAAAAAAGGAGCTAACAAGAAAAAATATTGTATGAAAATATATTTAAAAACCCTAAAGCTCTAAACCAAACTCCAGAATTGTGTAGGCGAAATTAATAGGGCTTCCCATGATGTGCATTTTCCCCTTTTTAGTAAGTACCTTGTTTGTGGTATTAATTTAAATCTTGCTTAACCTAGGCAACATGAAAGACTCAGACAGGATACTTTTCTATGGAAATAGATATGGCTTATAAGGCTACCTGATTTTTAAGAATGAGGCATTGGAAACTCAGTGTACTCAAGATAACAAAACTGGCCTAACTGGCTATTGTTCTGTACATTGTGCAAGCTTTAACCCAGCAGTTGTCACATGTTTCCAGCCCTGCAGTGTTGTTAAATTCATGTATTTGGGTCTTGACAACCAAGAGCCAGTGTTTGCATATTGAAATTTAACTGCATCTGGACTGAACCAGAAATGAAGTAGATATAATGCCAGTGTAATAAGGAGGTTGGATAACCAGCTCCTATAA